GAGCGGGTGGGTAGAATGGCACAGGACAAGGAGGAGGATCGAAATTAACGGAGACTTAAAGAGAAAGCGGGACAAAACGCTGAAATTAGGAGAGAGAGGAAAATGGAAAGGCGAAGAGGGAGTTTGAACAAAGGAAGACAATTGGAAACGGAAACCTGGTGTAAGTACACGGCAACGCGGAAAATTCGATCACTGGAATTCACCGGAATACGGGAGACCGTCTTCGAGTGTCTCTATTTTTTGGAATTTAGAAAGAAAGCAACGTTCACGAAATAAATCTTCTCCTTCGCGTTTATCATCGAAATAATATCCTGCGTTAACGAGCGAACTCGTCAGCGTTGTTGGCTTATCATTCCCAGGTAATGGACAGCAAAGTTGCGGCGTTAACGCGCAACAGGCGCGGACGTCCGCGAGCCCTCTGCTCTGCTAACCGGAAGTAGTTTGCGTGCAATCGCTGCCCAGACAGATAATCTATCAGGTTATATCGGATAAGTGGTGTTACAGGTCGTTCACGAAATGGTGGCCGATCCTCTCGGATCCGCCACCGTTGAAAACCTCGTTACACGTTTATGTTTGTATTACGCGTCGCTCTAAAATTTACGCGCGATATTTCTCGAGAAAGTCCATCCCAAGTTGCCTCCCTGGATCAACGAACAACCAATTTTGCAATCTATATATTCATTTCTGAGCCTTTCCGTCGTGTCGGTTGTTTTCCGTCGCCAAACTTTCCACTTTGCAAGTTAGTCCAGAGCATCGCGAGTTAAATTATTCGCCGGTAGGACTTCGCACTCCTTGTAAATTTAACGACACAGGAGGCCGCAAGGAGTCGAGAGTAATCCTATTTCCTGCTCACCCCTCCCGATACATCCCATCCGCTATTAATTTGTTGGGGAAGGCGTGAACGTGTACGAGTTACGCACGCACGTTGCCGCATCGATCAAAGCTTGGTAGAACTCGAAACAAAAGGTCCGCGTACATTGGTACACTCGGTACGCCTCCGTAACAAAAGGTACGCGTTGCGTGGACTGGCAAAAAAAACGCTTGAATGCTATTGTTCTCGGTTGCGTTAACGCCGAGGAGAAAGGGACGAAGAGGAAAAGTGAAACGACCTCCTGGTAAATCCTTAGAAAATCAAACCCGATTCGGATGCCTAGGAGGCTTAACCTTTCCAGAGTCAGCTGTATAAAAAGTATCGGAGAGCTGCTTTGTAATTACAAAGAGATTGTTTCCTACCCTCGGATAAGGAACGAAAGTCACGCCTCTCGGCATTCGGAATTCGGACCCCCTTAGAGGTTCCAGCTTTGAGAAAATGGAGTTTGCTCGGTTAGCTTTATAGCCCTCTCCGGGCATCCTCGAAATTGTTTCGATCAGAATTAGATAGGGAGGACTCGACTTTTGTTCCGAAGAAGCATCAAGGGCGGATATACCTCGGGTCATCGAATGCCGAAACGCCGTTTCTAATCGCCAGCATCGACCAACGTCGATAACACAGGAATTAGAGGATTCACTTGTAGATATCGGATAAACATTTTCTAGAACCTATCACGATAAAGAATATTCCAAAAATTACTTTAGTTTCAGGCACGTCTCTTGGTCCTATCCCCTTAAATTTTGTGGTTCGCGATCGATACGCGATCGATAGAGACCGCGCATTCCTTTCTCGACTACGATTGCCCACTACAGAAGGATTTCGCCGACGCGGAACATAAAGAATCCTTTTTTTCAACGCATCGACGAAAATCGGAAACTGCACTCGAACCGCGTCTCGATTTTCGTTCCAATCGTACCGGGATTTTCTTTTTGAATTCCATTCACCGTTCGTCGTCCTCGAGAACCAGATCAAATCGACTCCATCAAAACCGTCCAGTTTAAATCGAGCAACGTTTTCCTCGGCAACGGGGACTTTCGTTTCACGCGAATCGTTCGACGAAACCACTCCTTCTTTCCTCCGTTGTGTCATTCGACCTCTCGTTCGATTAAGGATATCTCGATATCGAAGCCAGACTTCCGAATAATACTATGAAAGTTAAAGCTACCGGATACGCGTTTCCATTTCTCCTTCCTGCTATCGGAAAAATCGTCGTCTACTTGGAATTCTACGTCTCGAAGTCAGACTTACGAGTACTACCGCCGAAAGAGACTGCTATCCTGTAACGTGTTGCATTTTCCCTTCCGTCGTTGGACAAATTCTCGTCGACACTGGGTATCTCGAGCTTCGCGAATTTGTTCTTCTCGTCAAGCAAAGTGGGTGTAATAGGGATAGGTCTTCACCCTCTTGGAAGGCTCGGAGGCTCGGTCGTCGTTACACCCTTGAAAACATTTTCGTTCCGTCGACGTGGTACTTTCCTCTGTACTTTATGAACAATCCAGGATTGACTCCTCGACTACACCACGAAACTTCTCGCCACGCAGACGGATTCGTAGGCGCGATAAAGTTGGAGGTGTACGTCAAGAGGAGTCGAAACTATTAAACTTTTCATCGGTCTCGATCCAATCGAGGACTATTTCCGCCAGGTTCGAAGAAGTTTATGAACCGATGGGGTGTCGCTCGTCGAGACGAGAACTCGAACGAATGTCGCATCCTGCAGAAATAAAAAAATAAAAAAAAAAAAAAATGGACGAGATTTGTAGTCTTTGAACTTTCCCCAGAACATCAGAGTGTCGGCGTGTAACGCAAACCGTTCGAGCAGAGAAGAATTCAAGGCCTTGCCACCGGCCCCGTGAAAAGCAAACGACTTGGAAATGTAAATGTGGCACAGGCGATTAAATTTCATTGGCAGCGGCCTCTAAACAAACTCGTGCTGCAAAGTATTCTTCGATGGCCGTACGAATACGATTTTTGTCGAATAACTAGCTTCCCGTTCGCTGTTATTCACCCCGAGTCTCCGAGTCCCTTCGTCGAACGGTTGGAATCTCCATAACATCTCCGAACCATGTTGCCCAGCGCGGTACAATTTCCAGCGCGAGGACCTAGTACCTAATCACCGATGTCATCCTACCCCTAACAATATACCTTGGTATATACACGTCGCGAGGAGCGGATTGTACAATGAATGTAAATTATCTCTGGCGAACGCGAATGGATAACATTGTTGTACATATGCACCGATTACTTTAACCGTGTATTCACTGATAAATAATAGATTAATTTCACCGTGTAATTCACGTCCACTGCAACTCGTACGATTCGGAAACTGTATCGAAAGGAGATTAGCTTTGGAACACTTGCATGGTATTTAGAGACGATCGTCGAAATATGTATATGTTATCGTTGATTCGCCAACGATCTATATTGTCGGCTCCTGGACGATGATTCCTTCGGGTTCCTCGAGCTCTGGCAGCCGTAAGATCCTCGCGGCTCTGGCCAATAGCCTCGGCCTTTCGTAACTCTTCCCTTTTTGTCATCCACGAAATTGAGTTCCCGCCGACGCCGACGTCGAGAATGTCTGACGCCGACGTCATATATTCGTTTTCAGCACTCAGCTCTTCTTCGCATTAATATCGCAAGCTCGGTAAGACGAATCTGAAGCTCGAATCGTCGAATGGCAGGTGCTTGTTAGCGTTGGACGGTCAGCCACGAGTCGTCGATCTATTTCGCGCGATCGTTTATAAACGAAAGGAAAGAGTTAGTCCTACTCGAGCGATAACAGTCGAAACACTGGGTAACCTGTTGATCGACGTTATTTGGCGAGGAAACCGAATCTAATAATCGCAGAGATCCGCGGAACGATAAGCAATCCGTATCGGAAAACGAACCCCGCGAAAGGTTAGCGTATTCGAGACCGAGGATGCACTCGTGCTTGGAGCGATATCTCACTCCGATGGCGCAGCGCGTGGCTCCAAAGGAAACTGCAAAAACGTTGATCGTTACCGCGGGACGTCTTGTTAGAGCGATCGGTCTCGAATCTGTTAGCCCATGCTCCGTCGCGCCGGAAAAGATTAATTCACGATCGACGGACTATCAATTACGCGGGCAAACAAAGCGCCCGGGCGTTAAGTGAAACGTGAAATAAAGTTTGTTTGCACAGTGTAAAATCACTTTATGCTCTCCTCTCGCGGAAGCCAATAGGGTGCGCGTTGTCACAACATTCCCTGTTCTCTTCGTGCGCGGAGGGGCTCGCGCGTAAAGAGCCAACAGGAGTCGTTAAAAAAGTTCAATCGGACGGGTAGCGTCGCGCACTCGGATGACGACAGCCTGACCCGTCGCTGTTTACGTTCCTTCGACTTTGATTCGTCTTCCTCGAGGGTCCCGTTTGCGTACCGCCAGTTCCAAGGAGAGACTCTCTACTCTGCTTCACAATCGGACGTCCCGTCACTAATCGCATTTCGTTCTTTGACATAAATGCGTTTTTATTCAATACAAGAGAAACCAGTATTTTTCAGTCACTGTTAAGTTTCTAAAGGAACGAACTGCATCCCACTGTATCCCAATTCGTGGTCCTCTTCGAGCAGTTCCAACGAAAAATTCTCTACCCGTGATTCGTGTATCGATAATTTCCATTTCTCGGGGATATTATGCGAGGCACTGGTTCGGTTTCGACGCGCACTCGGGGCCCCCGTTTCTCACAGGATCGATTCGCGCGAATTCCTCGATCGGCCACTCGATTCGTCCCCTGGTTCCAGAGTTTCACTCGACACCAAACGGACTCTGCTCCGACGGTCGGGTCGACGATCACCGGAATGCGTTATCAAAGGGGGAAAGAAGAGGAAAAGAAAACACAGACGGAAAGTGAACGAGTCATGCTTGATATCGTGCTGAAGTGTTTGGATAATTGTAAAGGAGAAATTGATAGAAACTGTTTGCCGCGACACTTGTTCTCATGCACGATGGGGTGTGAGAGAGACGACGATTTTGGAATATTGTATGCATACACATATATGTCTGTGTATATATATATATATATGTATATATATTTATATATATGTATAGTCACGAATTTCGGCGATTCCCGTTACGATTCGAGAGCGTGCTGGTGTTTCTGGGTAACTTCGTAGCTCACCTGGGGTAGAATCATGGCGTGCGGCAGCTGGCGCGCCTCGCCGCGCACTGACTCTTCCGCACCCCGAGCACAGCCTCCTCTCGCCCCTCTCCCGTACCCTCTCCCTTCCAACCCTCTCCGACTCGCTCTCTCTCAGCATCCACCACCCCCTTTCTGCCCGATTCTACCCTCTCCTTAGCCCTGTTTTCCTCGAAAAACCGGGGAAATCGGTCCACCACGTTCTCGGCAACGACCTGCTGCTGCTGCTGCTGCTGCTGATCTTGCTGCTACTTTTCCCGTTCGTTCACGGAGATGGCTCTTCTTCGCATTTCAGATTATACTCTTAGAATATTTACTCGATCCTCGTTAGTTTCGACGTTGCCTTCGCTAACGCTAATGAGGATTTTTGCATTCGCTTGTCAGCGGCGCAAACAAAAGTCGGCCCCTTTGTGGGCGAATCTCTGACTTGGTTATTGTCGGAAAACAATACCACGCGACGTACATAAAAAGCTTTCAATTACGAATCCGGCGAGCCTCTCGGTTTCGAGCGTCGGTGCTCGTGCTATCGATTATTGTTGGCTATTTACCGTTGTTTTATTTTTACTTTCGTTTTATTAATACGCGCGGAACACGCCCTCTGATAGACACAGCATCGCGGTAAGGTCGTTCGCGAATCGTTTGGTCGTTGGTATTCGACGGAGATCGCAGGAAAATTATATACGTACACACCTTTGCGCATCGTTAGTCCGCCTTCGTTTAATTCCATTTCCCCTACCGACACCCTCGATATATCCAATCGACGTATAAACAGCCCCTTGTGGCCGCGACTGCGGATTGCTCGGGGTTAGTAGATCGCGTATATCGCTTTATCCGCGACGTTCCTGCTCGAGTCAACAAAAGTTCGAATTATCGATAACGTGAATACGAACGGGATGCCATTGTGTTGTTGCCATTGGCTTCGATTCATTCCGATCTCATTATCCAGCGTACATATCGCGCAACAATACTGGGTTCGTGCGCATCCAAGCTCGAACGAAGTCATCGAAACGAGAAACATTTGTCGTGCAATTTCCAATAGCGATCTTTCTATTACATTTTACCGATTGCAATGCGTTTTTAATTTGGTTTTTCCAAGATACGGAGGTCGTTACCTTGGAACGTAGAAAAATCGACGAAGAACAGATCGGGACGATGCCGAGCTATAATCGTTCGCGGAGGTGACCGAACCCATCGTTAATCAAGTAAGCGAGTAATAGTCTTTTAAAATTACATTCGATCTCTGTATAATTTTTCACGCGACAGATTAATTTTCTCGAAGATATCGCGCACACTCCCTCGTACGACAGAGCGTAAGTACGTGACGGTCGACCGTGCCAAATGTCGTTTATGTCTGCTACCCGAAACGACTCAGGACTCTACATCTTTTTTTCCACCCTCGAAGGGACCTCTGCTCAACGCAATTGACTTTGACTTATCGCATATTACAAACGTCGCGTCGCGTTTTATCTTCTGAATTAATAATGTCCTCGCGACCCTTCTATTTTTCTTTTTTTTTTTTTTTTTCGGTAGAACTTGGATCATATTTTAAATTACAGGCACTCTGCGTCGTGTTTACACTTTGGTGATGCTTGCGGTCTCCTACGTGAACTTGAAAATTTGGGTATTCGTAACCTCGCGCATGGCAACGATACTTTTTCCCGGCGATCGGGAACGCGCACGACTATCTCAGTTCGTGTCGAATTCGGTATCAACGTCGACCGTTTGACACGCCATGAATAAATATGAAAACGTATTTCTTTTACCGACATGTATACGCTCTTAGAAGAACGAGATGGACGGTCGATCAACGGATTCGTTCGCATAGAGCGGCAGGGGATCCTCGAAAGAACGTAATTTCGTGAAACCTATTCCATGGCTGGGGGTTGTATCGTCGATCTCCTCGCAGCCCCCTGAACCCATCGCGAAAGTAAATACATATATAACACTCGGTTGGAACAACTATTCCTTTCTCCTTGATACGTTCGAGCAAAGCGATAATTCACCCGTTTACTTGCGAACCCTTTTTAATTATACGTACGCTAGTAAATACTAGTCGTAGGACAATGCATCAAGGAAGGGTAGGTTGACGAAATTGCGTAGGGAAACGGCGAGGGTGACCGTGTTTCGGTCGCCTGTAATAATCTCGACTCTTTAATGGATCTTTTTTTAAACCAAGATTCAGCTTTTATAAAAAGAATCGGTTACCAATCTTCGACAGGTATTTTTATATTCCCGATTTAAACTCGGCTACGTGTTTTGCTTACTTAAACATACGAACGGTAAATTGAAAGTAAGAATAGTCATAATCAAATATGAAAAATCGATTTACTTTTTCGTGTTATCGAGGATACTTAGTAGAACAACTATGCTTGGGCGTTTTCGATATTTAAAAAAAAGGGTAAGAATTAATGGAAAGGCGTTATCGATTGATAACCGGGTGATGGCTTAACGTCGCGTGGCGCTTTCCACTCAATTAACCGAGAAATTGCAGAATAAATCAAGATTAAGAGAAGTTGGAGACTGTCGATATCGAATCTTGCTAACGAATCCTTGCGACAACGCGACCAGTGACCCATGTCGAGTGGGATATTTGTTCCAAGTTTCCTCAGCCGAAAATTAAATCGGCTTTGGGGCTTGGACGGTCGCGGACGTGCCGACGCTGGAGATCGAGAAAGAAATTGGATCGTTCGACCACTCGGAACCTTTGTGGTTCGCGCGACGGGGATAAATGTATTCAGGAATTTCAATAAAAATTCCCCATTTACGACATTAAGAGGGAGAGATGATAAAATTGTAATATATCGCTTAAGATGATTTATCTATTACTGACTACTGCTTTTTTTTTTTGTCGAAAACCATGTTTTAACCACGTGCAAAGTAATCAACATTTATTTTTTTAAAAAATCTTAAATACTAATCAATAAAATAACTTCCATAATTTTCTAACACTTTTTGCCAGTGTAAAGGCAGTTGTTCGATTCCTTTTTTAACCGACTTCGAAAAGGAGGAGGTTACTTGATTCGACATGTATTTTTTTTTTTTTTTTAAGTCCTTCGATTTTTCGAAAATATGTAATCCCTAATATTTTCCCAGGTCACAGTTTTTACGCTCCAAATCATTCTTCCAATATATCTCGATGCTAAAAATTTATGCGTTCGCTTTGGGTTTCGAAGTGCCGAATTTCCATGGTCTCCCTTTGGAAACGAGAATTTTCGTTACTCCTTAATCGACGATTCCGTTTTATATTTGCCTCGGAGAGGAACGAAGGGTTAACGAATTAATGGCCTCGAAGAAGCAAACGCCTCCGTTACGGTGTACTTTCCAGGCGAAACTATCTCGACCGAGTCGAGTTTCCTTTTCTTTTTAGCCTTCGAGTTTGCAACTGTTGCGATTACAATGCTGCGATACCTAGTTGTTTCGATAATCTTAAACGATACTTGGGAATTGACCGCTATCGAGGTAGCGATGTAATTGCTTCGCTTCTGCCGGAATGAGAAAAAGGAAAAATACGGGCGAAAGAAATACATTGAACCTGTTGCACCCCTCGAAAAGAAGCGAGAACCACCGATGCGAAGTCGATGCACATTTCTCCAGATTCCACCGCCTTTTGTATTCATCGAGACAGTCCGAAATTCTCTGCTGAAATTGTCCTTACGCTACCCGGATAAGACTATGTACCGCGTGTTTTTTGGCCACGTTGTTTAATAATTAGCTATGTGGGAAGTCCTTATCCGCGAACCCGTCGCTCGTTGAATTTCTCAACGACTAATTCGAACCCTTCGTCTGTGCCGTTTCGATAACTCAGGGCTCTCTGGCTTTAATCCACCCCTCCCGCTGATATTCGATGAAAAGGAAATGGACTTCCCTCTTCTCGCTTATTTCTACGACGTACACGGAGCAAGCTGGCAGCGGAAGGTGAGGGAAGCCAATAAAAAGTTGTATCACGTCGGGAACTTATCGAACGCAACTAATAAACACACCGTGGTGAATGCATAATCGCGTACGAAAAGGTTCTTCGGTAATTTACGTGCTGCTACGTGGCCGTGCTTTGCAATTTCCCACGAAATGGCAGCACCGTGTCACGTAGGGCTTGAATAAGAAACGGCAGCGCGATTTATTCAGAAAACTCTACGGAAGCTTGTCGTTACGTTCGTCACGACACTGGATTAAAGACTTTCGGTGTCTCGATCGACTCTATGGCTATTTAAACTACTTTCGTCGCGTTTAATATCTCGGATCCGATGCATTCTCCTCGTTGGTGTACTCTCCGGTCGATGTGTACATTGTAGGATATAATTTCCGTTATTTGGACATAGTTTTGAGAAGCTGTGTTTGATATCGAGTTTAGTTGGATATACAGGATGGAAATGTAACGAAGATAAACGCGATTTCGTACTTGGCTCGGAGCAGCTGTGGGAGTTTTGGCAAATAGAATTCGCGGGTGAGGTGGGCGAACATCGGGGGAATGAAGTGAAACGTCGACGAGAGATTGAAATCGGTAGCGAGCAAGTTTGGAGTGCGTTGCCTTAAACGTGGAACACCGATAAACGCCATTGTCGAAATCGAATTTTTCCAAGCGACTTCGTTCTCCTTTTTCCGAAGAGGAAAGGAAATAAGTAAGACACAGGGGTAGAGAGTCGAACGGAGAAATAAAGCGAGCAAAAGTCGACGATAAGAAAGGGCAGAGTTCATAAATCATACAAGCAACGATCAACGTAAAATTACGCGTACCATTCGTGTACTAATGTACGCAACTGGACATTTATCCTTGATGCAGAAGCAAAAGAGTGAGAACTAAATGTTAATATTTAATTTCGCATTCTACGCGACTCGTGTACGCCGTGTTCATGTCACGTAAAATAACCGATAGCAATATTTTTGTTACGCGCTGAATAATTCATACGGCACTTGGGGCAACTTGGAGACACGGTGCTATTTTTAAGCTCAATGCCTCTTTCGAATCGTTCTCGAGCAAGCATGTAACACGGAAGCGAATAAAGGGAAGGGTTGTTCGGCTAATTCCATTCCGAG